CATTATACTCCATCAGGACTATGATATGTAGCCAGAGGAAAAGGGAAGGTATCTGGAGCATGCTATTACTTTTTCATTGAAGGTAAAAACAGGCTCCATGACATCACAGTATGTGGGTCCCTTACTGCCCCACAGATTTCAGAAATGGGGAAAAGACTTTCAAATCATTGCACTTTGTACCCTTCTGAAAATACTACCTCTTCTTCTGCCTTTCTTCAAGGAGAGCAAAAAAAAAGATGTTGGCGCCAGTTACTTGAGGAAAGATAGATGTCATTTTGTAGGATGTTTGGTGTTGTGACATTGTCTGGAGAAAATCCTGAGTCATTCTGAAGTAATTTGGCAGTCAAAACACCAATTCTAATCACAGCTAATTCATGTGTACCACTGAGTCCTTAGGAAATTCATACAACTTCTGTATGCCATAAAGAAAAAACTTCATACCCATGACTAACACCATCTTAGTTAGCTTTGCGTGCAACATGTCTTTTTAAGGTGATAGATTTTTTTTTTTCCTCTTCTTTTGGTGTATCAATCAATTTCAGAGTGCTATGTCTTCCAGTGTTCATTTCCATATTAGTTTGAGACAGATTTGAAGCCCACTAATATGAATAGGATCTGAGCCTTTGATCTTTGTAGTTCATGTTAGAGATTGAGTCCATTAGCTACATAAGGGTTTCCTTTGCTGGGTCTGAGGTGCTCAAATATGAAGCACACAAATATTATACAACCAGTCTTGCAAATATTCTAAAAGTAAATTTCAAGTTCAAAAAGTATGGCATACTACAACAGCAAGCATCAAAGAAAGTGGAAGTGACAATACAGATTTGTTTCTTTTTCATCCTAACTAGATTTCATCAGCAGGTTGAACAACGATGAGTCAAAGCTTGGGGTGGAAAGAATAGTAATTTAATTTTTCAATTCTACTGAAAAAACACAGTCATGGCTGTTCTAGATCTGGTATTTGACATTTATACACACCTGGCATATAAAAAAGTGGAAGGAATGGGATCTAGATTTAAAGGAAATAGTTTGCATCACTCAGTTAAATTCTTTGAAATTTCAAATTTTTATCTATTTATTTATTATTTTTTTTTCTCTTAGGAATACATTCTTTTAAAGAAATGAAAGACTGATGTGTCAGAAAAAAAAACAAAACTGAATCTACATGCTACCATGTTCAAAAAAAAAAAAAAAAAGTTAATGCTGTAATATACAGCTTTTTCTAATGGCTAGTGATTTTATAGAATACAAATTGGAAAACAAACAAACAAACAAACACATTTTTGGTACAAATTTTCAAGCCATTATGGGACTTAGAATTCTTAGTAAAACTATGATAATATAATTGTTGTGTCACAGCAAGTCAGTGGCTAGAAGAAATGATGTGGCCACAACAGCCACATGCCTGGTATTTTTATTTCCCTGGTAGATGGCAAAAAGGTGCTTTAAAGTGTAGTCCACAAGAGATGCCTACAATGCCTATTTCACCCTCAGAAATTAAACATATCCTAAATCACTATCTAAAGGGTTTCTCATCTCCTCAGTATCATCCCTTTACCAGCATAGCTACAAATGGACCCACATGGATGGACACTAAATCTCCTCTTGAACTAAACTGAATAAAGTTAGGGTACTGTCTGACTGTTGTAACAAACCAATGCAGCACTGAGAAAAATATAAAAAGCATGAATGGAAAAGGTCCAAAATTTGCAGAATAGACAGAAAAAAAATCATGGTGGTCTTCAGCTACCCAGTAACGAAGTGCCAAGAAGATACATACATACTCTTCCCAGAGGTATTTAGCAAAAGGCCAAGAGACAACAGTTGTAAGCTGCCATAGTGGAAATTAAGACCAGAAACAAGGAAACCAAAGCAAAACAATAAAAAAACACCCTGACTTTGCCACACACTGAAACAGATGACCAGAGCAGTAGTGTGATTCGGACCTGGGAGATATTCAGAGCTTGACTGGGCAAGGCTCTGAGCAACCTGCTGTAATCAGCTTTGAGCAGAAGTGAGGCCAAATGACTTGCTCCCATCCAACTTCATTTGTTCTGTGATTCTCCTGCCCCAGATGCATATGCACTCCTCATGCATAGTCCACCACATAAACGTGGAGATGTTGCTGCAAGGATGTGGTAGAGTCAGGAGGCATTGCTATGTTCAGCATCTTGTCCCAACATGAGGTGGGATTTCCTTGTGTGCTCTAGAAGTGGGAGATTAACTCAGTGTGGCAGCAAAACAGTTGTGATATGTTGCAGGGGTGCTTCCAAGGGAAAGGAGAAAGAAGGATTTCTTGAGGGGCAAATGAAGATCCAGAGGTAAACATTGGCCTAACCTGTATGTAAGTTCCTGTCAACCAGGAAGCAGTTTAAAAGTCACAGTTCAACACCACAGTTGTTTTGCCATCTGGATTGGTTCTCCTTTGCTAGATCTCCATGCTGGACCTGGAGTTCACCATATGGGAGACCCCAGGACAATGTTGTGTTTGGTGTCCCAATAGACAGGCCACTTAGACTGACAGCATCTTAGTAGCTGACACAAAAGTCGTATGCTCAAATTGCCATAAGCACTGTTGATTGTTACTGGAATTGGTCAGAATCAGCACATAGTAGTCAGCAGAATTTTGTAAAAAAAAAAAAACTTGCTGCTTTTCTTCTGAAAGTTTGAATAATTTCTGGACAAAACATTTTTCAATTCTTGTTGAGCACAGTAATGGGAGGGAGACTCTGAAATGAGGAATATTTTGGACATAAACACTGCAAAAAAATGTAAGCTCTTAGGCATAATGGGAGCTGCAGAAATTTGCAGTGCAGGGAAAAATGAAAGGGAATTATTTGTTGCATTAAAAAATGCTAATGAGTCTCACTTAACGCTGCATCCCTGAAGAAATAAATGTGAAGAGGTATGTAGAAAGTACATTCTAAACTTGGACTCTACAATCAGATTTGAATCATCATAATCTCACAATTTTTAATATGTCGATTTCTCATCATTGCAGATGAGATCTGTCGTTTTGGAAGGACAGAACAAAGAAAAAAATTAGATTATAAAAATATTGAAGGAACATTTTCTTGTGAGCTAAACAGTTTACTTAGGTCTTTTGTTACAAGAGATCCTAACATATGCCTGAACCAAAAGAAAGAGTGGATGGCCAACCTGGGATACACACAGTATGTGATAAATTCCTGTGATGAAAGTCCTGTGAGACTTAGTAGGTCACCTGAGTTGTGTCTACAAGCAATTTGGTGTTGTGTGTTGACTATTAGTCTTAATGAGAAGAAATGAGTTCAGGTAGCAGAAGCAGTTTGGCTACACCAATTTACTACACTTAGATGAATTTACCTCTTAATTGCTTTCACCTAGCATGGTTGAAGTTCTATAGATCTCCATATTGACAAGGTAATCTGAATGTACAGCTTACATGTCAGCTGCCAGTCCAGTGAGCCTGATCCCTGTAGGCTCAAGTATAAAAGACACCATCCTCAACAGGTTTTTCACCGATGTAGAGCAGCCCAAGTACTTATTAATGCATTGGGACTATATTATGTTAGAAATATATCTCCCTACATATATTTCCATTTTCTCCTTCAAGGACCATGAGCTGCTGAAATGCTAGAAGCACAGGAGCCATGTGACTACTTCAGCTGTACTGAGGATACCAGTATTGTTTGGGGAATTGTGAATGGGCCAACTCTTAAATACCTGAGCATTACCGGTCTTGAACTTACCATTTACATAGAGGACAGATATTATTCAGGCTTCCTGAGACAATCTGAATTTCTCCTTTATAATTGCAATGTGTTTCTGCCACAAACTAGGAACAAACTACATTTGTAGGAACAAACTACTTCTACAGCAGTGTTTTCCATTCAAAGTTGGTACTTCCTTCAGGCACAAACCCCTTCAGAAGTGGGCGAAACACATGTGTATGCCCACATAGCAGTTGGAGTCTGATTCTACATGGCTGAAATCTGTGGTAATTTTGCTGTTTACTTTAACATAAATAGGATTGGGTCCTGTGCTAGTTAAGTGCTTTTGTGAACCATCTTGATGGAAGGCATGGCAATAAATGTAATAAGATAATAAACTTTGGCCGTATTTCTATAGCAATGTATAAGCCCATCTGTATGCCTTATGTCAATAAAAACAACTAATTACAGAATAACTGAATATAAAGGGCCCCTCTGCTTAAGAAAACCCTCCTGTATTCCATTCCCAAACTTCCTATTACATCTACTGAAAGTCTGGACTGTAAGCCATATTTCTTCTATTAAGTTCTGATTTTGAATTAATCCTAAGCAAGAAGATAACTGTAGCCTTATCCTTGCAAAGGCATATTCATGTCTTTATACACTGTGAGCAGTCCCATTTGCTCTGGAAGAACCACTTCCAAAGTGCAGAGGTGGTTGGTTGCATCTGTAACTCTTTGCCATGCTGGGGCCTTCCAAAGTTCTGCTGGAAAAGCACGCAGGAGTGAGCTAAACCTTCCTTAACCCTGTGATCAGTTTTCTTCTCCAGCTGTAAGTAAAACATATTGTGATTTTTAACTTAGCCAAATGCAAAACCCCATGCACTGCTTCTGCTGCACTTTTTACCTTCTATGAAATCAGACTCAGTGAGCTAAATATATTCATCTTCACTCTGTTTTAAAATAGTGTATGAGGTGGGATATAAACATTTCCTGTGCAGTGTAGAGAAATAAACATACTAGGAGTTTTCAGCTGAGCTTAATGAATGACTTTTCCATGTGAAATATCTTTCTTCATATTTCTGAGTCAAGCTTGTATCTTTGCTTGGTACAGGTTCCACACCATGTTGTAAATTTGATGCTATAGCTTTACACTCACTATTAGGAAATACATTTATATCTTCAAAACATTATTTTTCTAAGCATTTAACTTTAGACGTTACAATTTCACAAGTGACAAGTCGATGTTTCATCTAACAAACTACTTCAAAATCCATATGCTGAAAAAATGAGACTAAAATTATACATTCAGTCAATATTAGCTATTTATAGACATTCTTTAAATAAATTTGAAATAAAAATAAAAACAAAGCTGTGAAGGCCATAAATCAAAACATTATTAAAGATGATATACCCTTTGAAGGTACTTTCTTACTAAGGATATATAATATTTCCATTTTTATAGTGCATTAATATTTTTATTGATAAAGCAAGATTCAAATTCAAATAGAAGTGACAGTCTTTCGGATACATGCTTTTGAAGCACTTTTTGCAAAGCAGGTCAACACTCATTGAAAGTTGCTTTCTTTCTTAAATACCTCGTGTTTATACAGCTGTTCCAATTTTTATTTTTAATTTCCAACATCTGAAATAAAAGTGCCACAAGTAAAAAGAGAAATTAAACCAATAGGGAAAAAAAAAAAAAAATTCATGCCAAGGACATATAAGAGGAGTAAAAAGCATTTAGAAACATAAAGAAAACATGGTCTGGAGAATTTCAAACACTCTGCATAGTTTTGTTCTCTAGTCTAATAACCATTTCTTTTGGAAGCTGGCATAATTTACTAATATGCTAAAGAACCATCATGGCATGTATTTGCACTTTGTCTTCTTAAGCATAGTTTAAGAAAAAAATGGTGTTGCCAGTCATGTTATTTGGATTAATGTTGTTCCCAGTGAAGCCACTTTTCCATTCTCAGGGTGGGGATTCAAAACTGTAGAAATCTTGCAGGCGATTGTCAAGAGTCATCCACACTTCTCCATCACCCTCTCTGCCATGTTTTGCTTATCCCTTTGCTGAGGATTTATCCATTCCCTCTGCTGCTGTTATCCCATAAGTTGTTCCCCCTATTTTGCTTTTACTGAGGATGTCTGTACATGGCTGTAGAAGTGAAACAGGCATGAATGTCTCTGAAAATAAAGCTATGCTGGAGAAACATGCTTTAGACACCTCATCCTACTGCTTGGTCCTGTGTTGTTTCCCTTTCAGTCCATCGTTAGGTCTGAGCTTCTTCTGGAAAATTTCCACATAGAGGGCCATTTTTCATTTTCCCTGGAACACCTTACATCCATAAAACAATAAATTGCTTGCATGTGTTCAAATCTGTATCATTCCATGATTCTGTGATTCTATGTGAATGTTCTCCATGATGGGGATTGACAATACTTCAGTGGCCTGCTCTTGGTTTGATTTGCTTCAGAAAAGTTCTGTCAAGCTTGATTTAGTGCTTGATACAATTTTTGCTGTCCCTCAAGGCCCAGCACTTCTCTGAGAGAATCTGTCTGGGATTTATGTCTCTCACCCACAAATGGAACAAATTCAGCACAGGGAGCATTGCAGGGAGGTGCCACAGCAGAAGGAGTGGGTGTTAGATCATGACTGGGATGTACAGGTAGGGACTGGGCAGCTACAGAAATGTATTCCCACTGATGCTCTGTGAAAGCTTCAAAGAAGGTGTCCAATGGTGTTGTCTAATGGGTAAATTCCCCAGCACACAGAAGTGCCTCACCTGTTTGCATAACCCTGGACCAACAAGAGCAAGTGCATACACATAGGAAAGAACAACAAAACAGTACTGCTTATTAAAAAAGCAATACTACTCATTAGAACAAGAAATATCCCCCAGAAACCTAAGGGAAGAAAAGGGAGGACAACTTTCCAGTGCAGATTACTGAAAAATTTCTTGCATCCCCAAAGTGAATACTTTCATGCAAAAGATTCAGTGCCAGTACATTCTGTTCCTGAACAGCATATACATTTCTTGAATATGACAACTGAGGAAATTTATGGAAAACAGAGAAAGCATTAACTATTTTTTATTTCTTGCTCATATATTTCCAAGCTAAGTGGCATTACACTTCATTTCTCCCATACATCTTATTTAATATTCTTCAGATTTTAGATATTGTTTTTAACTGTAGCAATTCAGGATGATTGTAGGTTTGGCAGAACCGTGTGAATAATGTGCAGCAAATAATGCACACCTTTAATACTCTGTGATTATTGAAAGTGCATGGTGTATGTCATTTCTCATTATGCAAATTTAATCAAATAGCTATCCTCAAAAGGTCTGTGAGGTGTTCACAAAGTTCTCTACGACTTTGAGAAATACTGTTGTTTTCTGCTTATTATGTATATGCCATCAGTTTGTACCAAATACCTAAGTATGTTTGAAAAATTAATATGTCATCTGAACGCTGTGTGCAGTGCCGAACAGATTGATTCTTACCTAGCAATTTCCATGGGCTTATTAGAAACAGATCTCCTGTGAACAAAAGAAAAATAGAGGTATAGGTATCTGACAGCTAGAAGGCAGCTAGAGCATTCAGGCTAATCTCATGTACATCATCTACCATTCAGTTTCACACAGCTACTTCTGACCTGGAAAATCAAGGTACCAGAATTGTATGCAGAATGCCATTGTGCTCAAATCTTTCCCCCCCAAAATACCCCTGAAACGCAAGAGGCAGAAGCCAAGGAAAGCTTGAAGGAACTGATAACGTGCACCACAAGAGATTGCTCTGTAATTTGTTCTTATTGAGCTGGATCTTGTCATTTCACTTTCTGAAGCACACTCATTTTATCTTTTCACAGAAGATATTAGTTTTACTTAGCTTGTGACTCAGCCTCAAAATAATTTCTCATTAATTCATTTGATAACAGTGTGTATATCTTTCCACAGCTGTAATTTTAAGTGGAGCGTTGGTTGAGATGTTTGAAACAGACCTGGGTCCTAACAGTGGAATGAATGTAAATTAGAAGTTACTGTTTGTCACTATATATCTCTTCTGATGTCATCTGGCTTTTGTACAGTGCTCTATTTTTTGTTGGAAAGTCGTATTTCTGTAGAGCACTAAGGTCCGTAATTACAACCTGCAGACAGAAATTGTGTGGTGGCTACTTTGTGGCTATGGGTCTTGTTCATGTGAAGCTGACTTGTGGACATCTTCAGCTATGCATGGAGTTGTGCTGAGATTGAGTAGTTAAACACAGAAATCTGACAGGACAGCTCTAGCATGAAACTGAAAGGCAACAAAGTGTATCAAGCAGGAATTTGATCTGGCAACTTTTCTGGTGAACTCTGTGGTTTTCCACTTGGAGAGTATAAAGTCTTGAATTCATTTGCTGCTGTCCCCTTGGTATCCTGTGCATGTGTATAAGTATCCTGTAACAGGATAAGCATCAGGGAGAAATCATTATCAAACACCCCTGCATGGTATTATGATAGACAGTCAAAACCTTGAGCTATGGAAAGTGGTTTATGCAGTTAAATGTGTCAGACGTGACTCAAAAGTCTCCTTCCTTTCTAAAGATATTACTTCATTCATGTTAACCACATTTGTAAGTGGCCTGGACTGAAGAGATAGTGTTTGGGGAATTCCAGACTCTTTTATACGCAGTTGGGAGTTTCAGGAATAGCTACTCTGCATTCCACTTTGATATATAATCCTCATTATGGCTTTGAATAAGAACATGGTAATTCGCCAAAAAAATAAATAAAACAAGTTATTGGTCAAAGGCGTACTATATAGGGAGTGCTAATAAAAACAAATATTTTTGGCTGTAGTCTAAAGTTCCTACTGTAAATGAGCTAATTTAGGGCTGTATCCTCCCCTGAGATCATGCGTTAAACTTAAGATAAGCAGTAGCTGTACAGATATCTTTGGGTGGTAGTGTAGAAATGTGCCTTCTCCATAGGCTCCACATTCACAGCGAAGGCATGGGGGACCATTCACTGCCTTTTCCCCATAGGTGGACTGACCTTTCCTAGAAAAAGAGCACTGTTCATTCATTATGAGAAGCATAACTCCTTGTACTACCAATTCATGGTTTAACTCCTTAGGAATGTGTGCAGAAGAGCTCTGTATCCCAGAACAAAATCCATCTTCAGTTTCGATGAACTCCAAGAGAGGCAGACGTAGACATAGATGACAAAGATATGCCTTCAGATAACACATCCATTTCCACCCACAGACGTGAAGGACCTAGAGTACAGCTATTAGTGCAGAGCTAACTGTAAACCCTGGCCATCTGGGCCCTCACAAACAGGTGGTGACACGCGGTTCATTCTTCAGTTACTGACTCGCTTACGGTAATATTCAGCTTGTGGTTTCATGGTCAGCTTAACTCACTCTGAGCCCACAGCTGCTGATGAAAGGCATGGGTCTCCCCTCCTTGCCACTTGCAACCCCAGGGTCTCCAGGGGTGCCACAATTCACTGGACCAGGGAGCTGGCGATGCCAAAAGAAATCCTATTTGCTTTCAAGTCAACCAGTACCAAGGCCTATCTGAGGGAAATAGCATTAGTGGGTGCAATCCTGCAAAGGCAGGATGAGTACAAAAAGTTTTAGTTAAGTACGGAAATTTGTAGAAATGCGGATGGGCACGTCTTTTCCTATTTTCATATTTTAGTTATCTTGTCCTTTACTGCCTTTTTTTTTTTTTTCTTTTTCATTTTTTTTTTTTTTTGGTTCGTGGTATCCACCCGCAGTCATGAAGTCTTATCCTGACAGAAAATATGCACTGACTGTGGATGAATTGCCTTGACAGTAGCATTTCTTGAATGTAGCAGTATCTTTCCACGGGGTTTTATTGTTGAGGTTGTTAGAATGCAGAGAGGTCACAACAAATGAAGCAACAAAAATAAACTGAAGTGGTTATACTCAACCACAAGCTAAACACAAAAGCTTTAAGCCCATGTTATACAGCTCTGCTATGTAATAGCGTAGTGTCAATATTGTCCCTGGGTTGGAAGAGTTGTATTTCACACATTCTGCCCTGGTTTACAACTGCTGAATTATAAACATCCTGTGATTTCAGTTCTAGGCTTTTCTTCGGTAGATATGACTGGGTTTTGCTCCTCATGCCTTTTCCCTCTCCACATGCCTGTATTAACCTTCTGCTCCTGAGTTTTGCATATACGAACTGAATGGGGTAAACTTCTGGCCTGTCTCAGATAGTCACAAAAGTACAGTTTATTTCAGTGGATGAGGATTTCACCTCTTCTCTTCATACTAGTATTAAGAGTGACTTCACACTGGTTTTCAGTTTCTGGTCCTTGGAGCTCCTTGGATCTGTTCACTGTTCCTAAAGCGTAAAAAGCCTAAATTTGCCTCAGATTTGCTCTACAAGAGCTCACAATATTACTGTGACAATTTTAGGTGTCCACAAAAGCTGAAAAGCACAAATATGTCAGTCATCTACCTAAGTAGGGAAGCTTTAACGTAAGGCAGTAGTAACTTGCATTATTTCTAAACACCATGAGGAGATATGCAGATTTACATACCTTTTGGATATCCCAGTCTTTCTCTCTTTTACATGCTATCTCACCAGTGCTGGTAGGACCTAGATGCCCAGAGAGAGATTTCCTGAAAAAACAATCCAGGAATGGATAGAGTTGCACATTGCAAAAATTCTCAAACAGCTGAAAAACATCAGTTCTTATAAAATATGTGACAAGCACAGCTTGCATGACAGTGGGGGGGAGGGTATGAAAGTCCTGCTGGCACTCACTCAGGATAGTCTGCATAGCTGTTGACGGATTCACCTCCTGTGAGTAATGGTAAACATCCTAAAGTCATGCCGGTAGAAATTCTCTGCAATGCCACTCGGTATTATTCATCATGCTGGCACGTGTGTGTGTGTGTGCGTGCAAATTTCCAGTGCTGTGCGCTGTGCATAACCTTTCCCTCTGTCTTATACTCACACAAGTGTGAATTGTAAAGTGCAGATCATTACCACCTCAGAAGCATGGGTACAGAGATACTTGTCAGACAGACACTGTCCCCCAAGTGGCGCTTTGGCTCTGCTCTCTCTTGTGCAGCCTGTGCTGGGGTAACCATGTAGTATCATCCTTGCTTTCATGACACCATGAATCTTGCCCAGCATTCTGGTTGTGCTGTTTGTTGTTGATGAAACAGTCCTTTGATACCCAGTGCTGTACACACTCTTTGGCTTTATTTTTGAGCATTACATCTTTTGCAGAGAAGCATTTTGGGCCAGGTTAACCTAACCTGCTTTTTATTTTTATTTTTATTTTTAATTTTATTTATTTTTATTTTTATTTATTTATTTTTATTTTTATTTATTTATTTTTATTTTTATTTATTTATTTATTTATTTTTGTGAGTATCGTAAGGAAAAGGACCTGCATTCCCATCTGCAAGCAGGGAAGTACCTGTCAGGAGATGGGGTAACCCCAGCATGGAGATCCAGGAGAGAGGGTTGTATGCTGCTCCCCAGACAGAGAGGACATTCAGCCTCTCAGTACTTTGGCAGTATATTGTACATTAAAAAGTCTAATCCTTTCGATATGACTATAAAGAGGAAAAACAGTGTAATCACATCTGGCGAACTCTAGAGCCGTACATAATTCTGCGCCCCTTTGATGTATTAACATCACTCCAAAACTACAAGTTGCATGTGCAGACAGGCAGCAGACCTGACAGCCTCGCTGTTCCCTCCTGCTTGGGGTGCAATGGGAACACCAGCACACCAATCTCTAGTTCTTTCCTACCTTACCATGGCTGATGCTGTGGGGCCTTCCTCCATTTCTGTCATGGGATGTACACCTCCAGAGGAGAGTAAATGACAACGATTTGTGATGCCAGAGTCTGCTGGAAAACATTCTCTTTGGTTATGAATATCCTTCCTAGGCTAAGCCCTAATGCAAGAAAGCACTCAAACAAGTGCTTAACTTTCAGTTTATGTTATGATTTCCCTGTTTTAGTCCCCTGGAAAGAGATGTCTCCCTAAAACAAGGTTTGGTGTCATTTGAACTCTTAAAATTAGAGCCATGCTAGCCAGGGGATGCAGAGCAAAATCTGCCGCCACGTGCAAGCCCTGTGACGGACTGTCAAGCGCAAACATGACCAGCATGAAATTTGGGGTGGGGGTGGAGGAGGTTCTGGCAATAAATACCATCTGGTTCAGAAAGTTAGTACCAGATGTCTGGAAGCGTCCAATTCCAGCCAGTAAAGGTGGAGCTGAAGTAATTAAAATGATATTTCTGTTTGGAAAAAGGAAGGAATACTGTCACGGCTTTTTAAACAATGATTTGCAAAAGCAAGAAGGCAGAAGTCACGCCTTTTGCAAAATATGTCCCCCTATAAGGTAGGCATGAATGAATGTCCAGGAGAGAAACAAGAATACAATGCCAAAGATTGAGCTTAAAGCAGAATTCCCCCTTTTTGGGATCACCGCTGCACAGCAGGATGGGGAAAAAAGTCAAATGGCCAGAACAGTTGCATAAGCATCTTTCCCACTCATGGTGGCTAAATTTTGCTCATCTTTGATTCCCATACCATGTGGTGCAGAGTTGGCAACTGTTTGGCAAATGCTCTCTGTCATCTCCTCTCCTGTAAAGAAGCCATCTTTCTGGAGGAAAGGTGGGATATGCATAAACCTGGCATTGTTCAAGCAACTTCTCCTAAAGCCCAGGCCCCTCCAATAACTCCAAGCAAATCTGAGCTCTGAAAGAAAAGCTTGTTTCCCTCCCCAGAGTGCCACAGGGCATTTCTAGAATGGAGTCCACATCTCTGAGTGCAACACGTGTTCCCTAAGCGCAAAACCCTGCTTTTGTTGGGTGAACCACCCAGGCAGCTAGAGCTGGGGAGAGGCAGAACTCCCTGTGGTATCCTCAGGTGTTTCCAGCCCAAATGTGCTGGGAGCTGCAAGTGGGCTGGGTGAGGTGGGGTCTAGCATGCCCTGTCCTTGCCATCATGCTGGATGGCAACCAGTGAAGCAGGGCACAAGCCCCAGGGCCGGGGATGCAGTGCTGCTGGGAGGTGGCACGTAGTTCACCGTTCTTCAGAAACCTGGGTCAGCTGAGGTGTGGGGTAGGGGCAAGTGGCACAGTGCATCCTTGTAGGCTGAACAAAGGCATGAGGGACAGAAATAAACCATGGCACAGTTCCTCAGAAGGCTTTATGTTTATTCTTTGCTGGTGGTGAGGCACCTTTATGGCAATGCTGCGGTGAAAGTACAGGAACTGTGAAAACATGATTGAGTGCTGGATGCAAAATATTTTTCTGTTCACTTTGAATGAAATTTAGGAGTTTCCACATTCTGTGTATGATGTTTTGAAAGCTTAAAATATGAATCCCATAAATCCACTGAATAACATGACAGGCATGGATTTACTAGGGAAGGGAAAAAGGGAACTGAAAGGCATGTCATAGCTGATGTATATGACTTCAGTCTGAACAACACTGCTGATGAAAGTTAGCTTTTACCAAAACAAGTATCCATTGCTTTTGAAGACATTTAAGCTCTGTGGAAAGATATATCTTCGCTGAAAGTCGTGACATCAGTATCTCATTTGATCACGCACAAATACCAGAAAAAACTGTATGAAAGGTCAGTCGAAATGGGAATTTGGCATGTGTTGGGGTTTCCCTAATAGGCTGTAGAATTAAGTACTTGATTTTCATTGATTTGAAGGAGAACAAACACGGATCCTTTAAGCAGCAAGGGGGAAATTTATTAAGATCTAAATGGAGGTATCTTTAATTGCAATGTGTAACTCCATAGCTTATACATGGTTTCCTTAAATCATGAGGACACTTTCTGGGGCAAACTGCAACTTGGTGTCAGTCACTCTATCTACCTATCAGTCACTCTATCTCTATCTATCACTTTTTTTTCCTGAAAAAAATAGATAAAGCCTATCTGCAGTTTGATCTGCAAATTAGTGTAGATCTAAGAACAGATAATGAAATAAAAAAGATGATACTGATTAAGAAGAATATTTTTTTTTTTCTGATTGTGCCTTACCACTTTAAAAGATGAAAAAAGTTCAGGATTGTGGGCAAAAAGTAACCTCTTGCACGAGAAATGGGAATTTCCAGGCTTCTAGGGAAAACAGAGAAAAAGATACTACTTTAAATGACATTCGTGTTCCTATATTTTTTCCATATTTTTTTCTAGTTTCCTGACTTATTGATCCCAATTTATTAACACTTAACTGATGTTCTAGCTACCAAGCAGTACTTTAGATTACTCAAATTATATATTTTTATTATTTTAAATTGTTTTTGTGGTTCCTCACCCCCTGCGCAAGCAGAGAAATGCCTCGTGCCTGTCGTAACCCCTCTGTGCTTTATTACCGGACATGGATAAGGGATCCCAGAAGATCCATGCTCTGAAGCGCTGTTAATTGAGTGGCTGGTCCAGATTTGCAGCTATTGTAAATGGGCACAACTTCAATGAAATGATACTTGCTTATATCAGCCCCAGATCTGTCCCAGTCCTGCTGTATATGTTTCTAAATTGGGAAGAAGAGATAGTGGAAATCCCTGATATCTCTGATGATTAATAGGGCTGTGCAGTGCAGAGCACATCCCAGAGCTCTTATTTCAGGAAAATCCTCCATTACAGATAAAGACCAATTTTCTATCAGAATTTCAGGGCTGACTGTTTTCTCCTATCTGAAATATATCCTAGCAGACTACACAGAAATAGAACTGTCTTAGGGCTTCAGCTTGTACTGGTTTTCAAGGAAGTCTGGGGAAGGAAAGGTGCTTATCTGTCTATAAAAAGATAAGAGATTTCTGTTGAAAATAAACTTTTAAAATATAATCATATGACTTTTGTTTCTTTGGTTATGCAGCTGCCTTGGAATCTGAGCTTCTGGTAAACACGTTGGCCTGTTAAAGGACATGATTCAGACTGTCCCAGATCCAGCAGCTCACATCAAGGTTAGTTTCCTGTTTACTGTGAGTCCTCAGATGTTATGAGAGCGATAAAATTTAAGAATATGTATACGTAATGCAGGTCTTCTTGTATATTTATAAATTGTCCTACTGTACAGCACTGGCTCTTCTATTTCTTGATATTTGTATGTTATTTGTATGAGTCAGTCATGCATTCTTTGTTGCTGACACCTGTTCTGATGTGTGTGGATATTTTGAGGGTAAATCTTTCTATGACTAAAAGCCCTTGATCATTCTCTAATATTTGTTATGCTTGATAAAAAAAACACCTACTTGGAAAATACTGAATATATATATCCCCAGTTCTGCTCCATAAAAACCAGTAGCAAACATTTGCTGAAGAAGAAAAATAAACATAATGCAAAAATTCAAAGCCAAACAAACATTCCTTTGAAAAGACTCAGTGCCTAGTTTTGTGTAAATCAAAGGACACTGGATTGTGCTATAGTCTTAAAAACAGCATTGTTTTGCTACATTTCAGAAGACATTGTATTGTTTTTCACTCCTTTGTTACTATTATTAGTATTACTATTGTTCTATGTTCTTTTTATCCTTCTGTCACGGAAGAATAGGAACTTGCTAGACATAGCAGTTGGTGTACTGCTATGAATAAGACATATCTGAGTATTGCCTGTAAACAGCACCTGAGCCTCAGAAACTGGCTGGTTAGGGGGATGCTCCAGCTCTGCTTTACTATTTTATTGTCTAGAGGTTTTGTTTGGAAATGGTTGGCTGACTGCTTCTAGAGTTGAACAGCAATTCTTTTCCAGAAGTAAAAAGACACTCATATAGCAGTGTCTTGGGTGGGAAAATCCAGCTGACCCTTATTTTTATACATATAAAAATGCGATGAAACTGCACATTTATCATTCACATGGCTCTGTCATGTCAAAGTACTGCTGGTGTAATGAGATTGCTGTAATCAAAGGGATAGATCAGCCATTCTAATCAAGCTGAGAGTGAAAAGGTTTCTTTTATTCTTTCTGTCTATCTGCCTTTCTGTTTCTCTGTCTGTCTTTCCTTGAAACTACTTTTTCTGCAGCTTCTTTTATGGAGTTTCTTCTCAGTTAGCCACTATCCACCAGTCAGCAGCTTTCTATAGAAAAGCTTTATTTTTCAACTTATTTTTAACTGAATAAAAATGAAATATTATTTTAAATAGCTCACTTTTCCTGTAGAAGGGTATTGAATGAAAGAGCCTCTCTATATAACTCCCTACAGCATTTTTGGATTGTGCTCAGATACTAGGGTGACAGACAGTGGTAGGAGAGCTCATTCCTTCCCTCTCTCCAAATTTTCCAAAACCCAACATATTCACAGTCTTCTGGCACTCGACTGCTTTTATGAAAAGAGCAGGAAAAACCCCCACCACAAGCAGTCTCTCCCCTTAGCATGTCTTGTCACCTGGATTTCAGATTTTGACCAGTAAGAATTCAGAAATTTTATGGGGATTTAGTACCTCTTCATGCTTTCTAAGTTTCCACAGTGCCAGAAATAACATTAAGAAGAACTCAGTTTCTTGCTTTCTGCCAAAACCTGTATCTGAAACATTTTTATTTTATTTTATTTTTTACCATGGGAGTTAGAATTTGAGAGAACACGGCTGGATATGTGTGCTTCTTTTTACGGCAAGTAAAAGAGAGCTGCACAGAAATCTCTGTAATAATTCTGTGTTCAAGGGAACCTGCAGGAGTCTATTTTCAGCAGAATAGCACACACAAGTAGTTGCTACGCTGAGAAGGGGTGAGAGGAAGGCACTTACTTTAATATTGTGTTTGGGAGAGGACAACTAGCCAAATAAACCTTAAATCCTTCACATTTCTGTTTATGTGATTAGGGTCTGCTTTGGTCCAAACACATTCTTCAGAAAGCTGCCATGGATGCTGTTCGTTTAGACTTTAAAAGTGGGTGTAAATATGTTCTTAAAAGTAAGCCATGAGAAAGTAATGTACATGAGCCATGGGAAAGACTATTTGCTGTGATGGTCTTTTCCACCTCTAATTGCTGTAGTGTTGTAGAAGGGACACACTGAGTTCATTACAGTCATCCTTGATATGGTTTTGTTTAACTATACTCCATCAGGTAAGTCATATGGTATTCTATTTTTTTTCTCCTTGAATAAGCAGATGCAGCCTCAGCCATGCACATTTAGAGCAGTAACTTTAAAAATAATTTTTTAGGAAATGTCAGAATTATTAAGATTTGACAGATTTTAATTTTTAATTTTTCTGCCTGAACATGTGCAGAAAATGAATGTGAAATACATGTATAAATGAATATGGCAATATGAATATTCAGAGACATATTTTTTTTCTCTCCCTTTTTTTTTTTTTTTCCAGCAATGATGATTTCATTTGCATTATGTGAATTCTCATGTGTGCTATTTTGAAAACAGCCTTTTGCTTTACCAGAAGGAAATGCAACCAATCTCACAGCTCTTGTGTTCCATTTCAGAATGAGAAATTATATGAACTTGATTCCAATGCCTAGGCAGAGCCTGTCCAATTTTGGGAATGTTTTGAAAATCTTAATGTGTGTCCTCATTTTGTTTGGGCAGCTTCATTCCATGGCTACTAAAGATTAAGCTTTA